AAAATAAAATAAACGTTAGTAAACTTAAGATCCTTACAACAGAACCAATTTTCAATATGAATGGCTTCTTTTTCCTGCAATTTTTAGTGTTGTGCCTCTATATGCTTTAATTATTGATATACAATTGCATTTTGTGATCATTTTTACAATTTATATTCTGAGGTAAAATGTCTTTTTGTCGAAAGAATATTATGTACAAACTGACATCACTTACGTCATACCTACTAGAATTTATGTGTCATCAATGCAGTGGAAATGAAAACTCGTTTGAAATCATATTAAGAGTAGTTTAGAAACAGAGTTTTGGCATTTAGAAACTAAATGTTCAAAAATAAGGCCAAGTGAGAAATTGTGTGAAAAGAATGAACATAAGCATAATTTTATGATATTTTACTTTTTTATAATATTTTTATTATTTTCAAGTATTTTCTGTCTACTGTTTTCTTCACACCTTACAATTTGTGTTTGAGGTTTTCTTTCATTATAGCTGCTATAACTCTGAAAAATAAAATGACATCTTCCATATACATGACAAACATTTATTTAAGCTATGAAGACGTTGAACAACAGAGTAGAAACATGATATTACACAGCGCTTAGCACTTCTCGGTTACATGCAATACTCACCATTGACGTTGGCTAACTGCGTAGAAAAGTATTATGCAGCAGAGAACTTGCTTATCATGCACAAAGCACTAGGGGAATCAATGGCAGTTGTCAACAAACACAAAAGTAGCTTAATTTATGCTGTAATATATGTCACTTCATATGTTGGGATTATATATGGAAAATTAGATATAGTTCGACCGTCTTAAGCACAACCTGGTTGTCATTCTGCCAAAACACATAGACTCGTCCAAAAGGAGCAGTATTACTTGCTGCGATGCGAAAGGTCTCTTCTCCGGAAAGAGCTATGCTGGAGTGAAAGAAAGTCCCCCATCCTTCCACCCTATTTTGAGAATAATTCTTTCCGAATGATGCATGCGTGTTTGCGCTCATGGTGGCGGATTAAGCGGTCGGACTATAGCAGTATGTTAGCAATGTGTAAAACATTTTTGTAATATTATGAAACACAAAATGTGAAAAACAATCAAATGTGGTTACCAAGTATATATGTAGGTGTTAATTGAACTTATTTTATAATTCATCTTCGTGCATGCATTTATGGCAGCATGAAAGGGGATGAAAATGTCAAATTAATAATCTGGCAAACAAGGATTTCCATGTAAAATATCTTGTTGAAAATACACTTTTGAATAACAGAATAAATCATGAGCATGTGTTAAATGATGTATGGGACCTGATATAAAGCTATTAATTTGTTTTGCTGCTGCTAAGATCTGCACTGTTCATCATTATGGTGCTCAGATCAGCAACTTTTCTGGCAGTCACTTAACAGTGCCGCTATCTGTTAGAATTTTAGAAAGATGAGAAAATGCAGTTGTAACTTGAAATTTACGTGAAAACTATGCATTGGTTTATGTAGAAACATGCAAATAAAATGCACCTCATGCACGAAAGCATCGTTTTCAATGCTAGTAATATTATTCATATTTAATGTGCATTTTATGTGTAAAATATTTAATAAAGATATTTATGTAGAGAAGTTTTTACAACTCTTTGGACACTGACAGATTTTAAAGAAAAATGTACTGATTTTTTTAAAAAAAATATTAATATAATAATATTTTTTATTATCCTGAATATTACTAATTAGGGCTTTTTCCTGTATATGAGTCAAAGTTTCCTGTATATGAGTCAAAGTGTTTAAAATATTTATGTTTGCTTTTATCAAATAAATCCAAATTATATTGTTTATTTGTTTAACAGAGTTGAAGCATAGTTTAAGAGAGTAGAGAGTAGAAACATAGTTCAACAGAGTTTGTTTGTTAGAAATATTTCTCCATTTTTAACTTTTATTTATAGATTCCAAGCACTTAGCTCAAGATGTTTTTACATTAGCAAGAAAAATTGCACAAGTGGAGCGGTTGAAAAAATTATATTCACCAATTTCTTCCTATACTGGCGGCAAAAAAGTATGTTTATAAATTCTTAAATGCTATACATCAGTGGTCTCAGATTGGTGGCCCATGGGCCGCATGTGGCACTTAAAGTAATTTTATGTGGCCTACAAAGTCATTTCAATTATGAATTTGTTGCAGATATAATGTTAGAAAAATTTTAAGATTTTAATTATTTGAAATCAGAGTTTGCACTATTGACAAGGATTTCCATGTAAAATATCCATGTTAAAAAAATCAATGAATGGAGCTAAATAATTTATAGTGCGATATAAATCTTATTCAGAGATTCGAAGATACAAATTTTATTACGTTTTATTTATTACATTTTATTCATTCTTTTTCTCCCCAAAAAATAAATAAGTTCTGCTACAAATTTCTCCACTTTTTGTTTGGACAGCTTTTTTTCACAGTTGAAAGTTAATAAGAAGAAACCCAATTGACCGATTTGAATGATAAGCATCTATAATCCATAATGAAATAACTTCTAATAATTTCTTTCCAAGCTATGAACTCTTTAAAAATTTAAATGCCATCAAGTGTCAAGCTGTAGTAAGAAATAAAAGAAGTTTAGAATTATTTACATACAAGCATATATATTTTTATTTATGCACTGAAAAAAAAATTAATAAATAAGAGAAAGAGACTAAGTTGTTATTTATTTTCAAGTTTTATCATATTTGGAAAATTTTCTCTGAAAAATTAACAAAAGGTTCATACTTTCTGTCAGTTTAAAGTAAGTTATTTAATTATTAATTATGATTAATTAAATTTAATAATTAAAGATTTGCTCTAACATATTATGTTAGAACTATTTAAAGTAAAATCAGTCTGAAAATTTAATATTTAGCAATCACTTTATTTGAAGTACAAAGCATAATCAACAAAAATGTCTTGCATGTAGCAAACTTTAGATTTTTAGATAGAAATAGAAGTGTTTAATTTTTTGTTTTGTTTGTGATATTATTATTTTCTATGTATGTTTTGAAAAACGCTTAGTAAGTGAAATTTAAAATTTATATAAAATATTTCTTGTAGTTTGATAATAAAATATTTAAAATTTTCCTAAAAAAAAATTCTTCTCAGTCAGTTTTTTTCACATCATGCATGTGGCCTGTGGGCTATTTGAGATCACTGCTATACATAATCTGGTTTAACTAAGTTTTCTGTAAAATTGGCTGGAAAATGTACTATTTTTCTATACTGAGACCATTTTTACCTCAGATACAAGTACCATTTTTTTTTTTTTTTGTACTGAGAAAAACTGAAAACTTGTCTGTTTTTCTTTGAATTATTGTTTGTAATGTACAAAATTAATTGTATGTGAATTAAATTGCAAAGAAACTAATTTTTAATGCATGTAGATTTCATAAATTTTCTGAAGTACTGTTAGATAGTGTTTGAAATTTTATAGTAACATGGTAAGCATTCAACAAACCTCTTTTGGGCTGTAACATATTATTGCAATCACTTAAATACAAGTTGCCAAAATTTTCAAAATGCTCCAAACTTTGGCAACCAACTGTACACCTAACAATTCTTCAGTTTTATAAAGCAACATTGCCATTTCCGTATGTGTTCTTTTTATTGTATTCCAAGTTTCAATGGTTTTTATAAATAAATTGTAACTTTTCTGCCTTAAACTCAATTTTTAAATGTGCAGTTGTGGGATTTCCTGCAACAGAAGAAACAACCAATAACTTTATGCAGGAATACAATAGCCACAAAATTGTGAAAGGGGACCTCTGCATTGAATATATAAAATGATCATGAAATTTCCATCAGAGCAAAAGAAACAAAAATGGATTTTATAAATAAAATACTTTCTGATTATTCGCACCCCTACTGTAATGTTGTGAATTCGTTCACGATTTTCCAGAGAAACAAGGTTCCTTTTCCATAACAAGGTACCCCTTGGCAAGATTCATATTGTTATGAATTTTGTACATCTATGGATAATTTTGGTTAAATTTTATATGAAATTGCTGTATTCTTCTGTATAATGTAACATGAAAATCTAGAGAGAGGATGCTGTTCTGGAAAAAATAAGAATACAGGGGCAAGCCTATATAACATTGAGTAAATGGCTATCTCACTAAACTGGCAATGGTTTTGGCGATTAATTTTTGGCTTTTGATTGAAATTTGCGGATATTTGATGAATTTTTGGCTTTTGATTGAGTTTGGTGTCTAAATCGCCAAACTTAAAGATTATTTGGTGTCATTTTGGTCCGGTCCTTGTATCACTATAATAAGTATTGTAACTGAATAACTGTAATTGACTTTGGATACAACTGTAAATGTACCTGGCCTCATACGCCTTCCAATAATTTTGGGAAGTACTAGACATTTCTCAGTGGCTGAGTGAAAATTATATAAGGCTAGAGAGAGTATCTGCTCTCAGTTGTTGTTGCAAGTTGTTAGTTCAGTGCAAGTTCGCTGTATTAAGATATCTTTAGGTTAGCTTCCTGTTTAAATGCACTTCTAAACATTACAATGTGTTTAACATTCTTAGTAGTTGGAAGTGTAACTACTGATGGTACTGTGTAATACTGTAAACACCTGTACGAGTATTTTTGTGAAAAGTTCCAGTAGTCTAAAGTGTTTTATTTGATAAAATAAGTTTTATCAACCTGTCATCCATACCTGTATGCATTCAATCTATTACAAACCTGTATGTATGTTATAATGTGATTCATTAAGCTAATATACCAAAGGCAAAAAACATTTTCAAAATGGCAGCACACTAAGAATTCCATCAAATGCAATTAATCAATAAAATACTAGCAGCATCGCTAACAAAACACCTATTCTTTTAGATATCCTGTTGTAAATTTTTGTGCAGTTGTTTTCCACTTATACGCATCAATTTGTTTTCACTAAAAAAAAAAAAAAAAAAGAGTTTCATAAATTTGCCATCACATGCTCCACCTAAAACATACATGCACGATTTGCATATCTCAGTTCTCAAATAAATTATTTTTGGTTTCATTGTGAGTTGCCGCATAACTATTTTGGCGACTACTGCATAGCCTCACGAATACTTTTTTGTGAATTTTTGGTGGGAGTGCAGATGACTATAAAGTCTCCGCCTCCAAAAAGCTACTGTTCTGTTATTGGGACCAGATTCAGAAATGTATGTGCAAGTGTATGTGTATATGTATACACATACTAACATATATACATGCAAACATGAACACATTCAACCATGCATACATAAATACACTGAATCTGGTTGTGATAACGGAATAGTACCAAAAAGAGTACAAAATGCAGATACATATTTGCTTTAATTCAGCGATTCTCAGCCGGTGGTACACGAGAAAAACAAGTGGTTTGCGGGGAAAACTATTAAATTAAAAAATTAAGTATCCCAGCATTCTGTTTAAGTTCTTTCTCTAACACTCGTTCAAGGTCTATAGCCGGTCACTAACTTTGTTCATGGTCAATAGCTGCTCACAGACTTTAGAAAAGTTATTCGTTTTTATTTTCACAAGAATTCTTTCAGCCATACACATAACAAAATTTGTCATAAGTGATGCTTTTAAAAGGAGTTATGGATATTATGTTTAGTAGGAAATAAAAATAAGTTACTATAAAAAGATAACAGTATTTCATTCATTCTTTTAGATTTGATCGATTTAGTAGCATGTGTACATTTTATGGCGCCACCATTTCTGGGCTTGTATTTTCAATTATAATAACATTGATTTGCCGTCTCTAACAGGAGGTACTTTGTCTTCTTGTTGCTTTGTATTCCTCACTTTTCGATGCGATTTGAGAATATCATCGTTTGTTTTTGAAGAAATCATAATACATTGCACATTTAAATATTTCTGAAAAAACAATGAAACAAACCTAGATTTTTCAAATGGCTAGAATTGACTGTCTGACAGAAATGTGATGATTCACAAGTGATGGATCCAGGACAGTGTATTAGCATTAACAATACTGAAAAGGAAAGAAAATTTGTTTATAGAAAACGTAATGAAAGTTATTTATCATTTGGGTTTACTTGGAATGGAGATAAGATGCACCTCAACCTTGATGTGTTGTTTACAGGCCGCCGCTAGAGCACGTGCGACAGAGAAAGCCGCATTGGGCAGCAGAATTTAAGGGTGTCAGAATTTGTAAAATTTAGAAAATTATAGGATGGCAGATTCTGGGGATAGACGTAATTGCACCAGGCGGCAAAAACCTTAGAGTCTGCACTGGTTTGCTGTGAACTGTTATCTAAATAAAGTATGAAACCATTGTTTCTTGAAAGACATCTTGAATCTAAGCATGCCAGTTTAAAGGATAAATCTGAAGAATATTTTAGAGAAAATTATCGGAGATCAAAAATAGTAAACAAGTAATAAAAAGTTTTGTTACTTCAAGTGAAAAAACTTTGGAAGATAGTTACATAGTAAGCCTAAGAATTGCCAAGACTGCGCAGGCACACACTATTTGAAAAAACCTTATATTACCAACAGCTAAAGATGTCATTTCAACATTATTTAACGAAAAAGCGACTAATGAACTTAATAATATTCCATTTTAACAAATGATACAGTAAGTCGACGAATTCATGAAATGGCAAATTCCATAAAAGAGACATTCAAAAAATAAAACACAGGGAGTATTTCACATTGCAACTAGTTGAAAGGCTGATATAAAAAGCATTATTCAACTATTACTTGAAGAATATAAACAAATTACCAAAAAGTATTTATTTTGTGAATCTCTTCATGATAGGGCAATTGCAAATGAAATTTTCAATGTAATTGATATTTTCATGTCTGAGAATGCTATTCCTGGGAATAAATGCCTTGCCATATGCAGTGACAGAGCTCAGGCTTTAATAGAAAAGTTTCCAGTGTTATTCCTTAAATAAAGTTGCACATGAAACTGAATTTACTCACTGCTCCATTCATCTTGAAAGTTTAGTAGCCAAAACAATACCAGAAAACCTGAAATTCACTTTGAATCAAGCTGTGAAAATTGTTAATTTTATTAAAAGCCAATCTTTAAACTCAAGAATATCTACTATTTTATGCCAAGAGATGAGCAGTGAACATGAAACTTTTTGTTTCATTCCAAAGTATGGTGGTTATCCAGAGGCAAAGTTTTAAATCGTCTTTTTGAACTTGATCAAAAATTCAGATTTTCATCTGCGATTCAAAATTTGAATTGCAAAGATGTTTATTTAGTGAAGTATGGTTGCCACGTTTAGCATAATTAAGTGATATTTTTGGAAAGTTAAATGAATTAAATTTAGGATTACAAGGACAAAGTGTTGATTTGTTTACCATTATAGATAAAATAAATGCAATGGTTTAAAAAAAAAAAAAACCTCGAGTTAATAATCAAAGAATTGGATAATAATATTTAAAGCTTTTTACCACTTTTAGAAAGTTTTCTAACCCAAAATAATTTGAAAATGAAAGGAGAATTATTAGCATCTGATGTTAAAAATCATTGTTTTTCATTGATATATAATTTCAACATGTATTTTCTCAAGGATTAGAAATCCATTTAGCTCAAATTTTCCTAAAATTTTATCTCATGAAGAAAAGGAACAATTGATAGAAATTTCCTGAGATCGAACTGACTATTTCAAAAGTAACAAGCTTAACTTTTGACTGAACCGAAAAAAGAATTTAAAGGTACTTAAAATAAAGCTATTAATTTTTTATTGCCTCTTTGCACAATCTATTTATGTGCACAATGATTTTCTGCAGTGTTATATTTGTAAAATAAACACAGAACAAAATTAAAAGTGGTTCCTACTTTACAGTTAAAACTAAGTAAAATAAAACGAGACATAAAAGAAATTGATCTCTCTTAAAAAGGCCCAAATTTTTCACTAAATTTTGATGTTTGCATATTTAATACAACTAGCTAATAGATTTTGCAAATAGCAAAATTTATTTTTTTAAAAATATTTCTGTTGATAAATTGAGAACTAGTCATTGTAAAATGTAGTGGTAGTATTAAAGTTTTTCAAATTTTGTTTAGATGGTATGGGTTAGTCAAAAGGTTGAGAACCACTACTCTAATTAATTTAAAGGTTATGTTGAAATAAAAAGAATATAAAAAGGATACATTTCTATCCTCCTTTAGATTTTAATCTTTAAAATTTAAGAGAGATACACAGATATAAAGAATCAGCTAATACGCAAGGGGCAATGCTTTCTATTCAGTATGCGTCTTAAGACAGAATGATAGTATTTCCTTGTTAAAGCAGTCACCACCGTTAATCACCAAAATCGTCATGCTGTGACTCTTTTAGTAAGGAAGTACTGAATAATCATTTGTATATTGCCTAACAAGTTTTTACTTTATTTTATTGGTGTATTTATTGTGTGTATGTATGTGTCTATTCGTAATTGATAAAATTGTAATTTTTTTTGTCTTTCCAGCCTGATAAAGATCGAATGCGGTATTTGAGATCTTCAACCAGATTTGATGTTACATTCAGTTTAATTGTACCAGAGCCTCACATTGTGGACATTAATTGGGATATTGCTAAAGCTATTAATGGTATGAGTATAAATTACTTCAAGAATATTTAAAATACCGATCCATATATACATAAATATAATTTTGAGGATTACTAATTAGCACATACAGTATAAATAACATGTTATATTCATATACTAATGCATATTAAATTCATGTACTAATATAGTTTTAAATTAATGACTTCAGTCTCTATTTAACATATAAATATCACTTCTATAATGATAATAATTGCTTATTTTTCTCATAATATAGTATGAGTGAATTTCAATTTATATAAGAAAGCTTTTTAATATCACGCTTTAATTAGTATTACATTATTGCAGATTTTAGGATCAGCAACATTTAGGTAGAATTTATTGAGGTGTCGGGCAGCAGAATTTAGGACGCACAGAGGTGGTGGTGATTTATCAGATGGCAAAAAGGTTGGCACCGGCCATGCAAATATACAACTGTTGGACAAAAATATGGAAGCACTAAAATAAAAAATATATATTGCCGCGACTAACATGGTGTAAAGTATGAAGTCGGAAAAAGTATGAAGCAAGACTCATATGACCAAATGACAGTTTTCAATTGTTCCACAGTTCAGGTTTTATGACTTTGGTGCCATTTTCTTCTCTTACAGGCATTTTTATCACTGATGAGTGTTTTTTTTTAAATTTCAGCTGTTCCAAAAATACTCTGATTGTAGAGCTCCCTTAATACTATTTTGCTGCTGACAGGGTTTGTGAGTGCAACATTCAGTTCAGCAGTCAATTTTTGCGGCTATACCAGAGGCAAGGTCGCCCAGAATTCAGAAAAAGTATGAAGCAAGACTCATCTGACCAAATGACTGTTTTCCATTGCTTCACATTCCAGGTTTTATGACTTTGGTGCCATTTTCTCCACTTACTCCATTTTAATCACTAATGAGTGGGTTTTTTTTTTTTTTTTTTTTTTTTTAATTGCAGATTTCCCCAAAATACCTTGATTGTGGAGCTTCCTTCATTTTGTTGCTCTGCTGACAGTTTGCGAGTGGGGCATTCAGTTCAGCAGTCACTTTTTGCAGCTATAGTCCTGTTATTTTTCAGCACAATCCTCTTCAGTGATCATCTGTCATGATCACTCACTTTCACCAATGGTCTGATTTTAATGGATGTAATTTTTCTGATTTTCCAGAATTAATCTTAGATATTGTGCACCTTGAAACACCAAACACTTCAGCTGCCTTGGTTATGAAAGTACCTACTTTACAAGCCACAACAATTTATGCACATTCAAACTCATTTAGCTCAAATGTGATGCACTCACAACTACACAGAACACTGTCTTAATAATGAATGATGCTTGCAACGCATTGAGGGTGTCGTACAGGTGGTGTTAGTGAGCAACACATTGGCACTACTAACAGTTTTTTTTAGAATAAACATTTCAGTTCCAGCATGCATTTTCATGCAGTATATCCATATTTTTGTTCAACTTCTCTTTCTATATATATAATTTTAAAATTTCTAAACTTTTCAAAAAATATAAACATAATAATATGTATTATAGTTTTCCATCAAAAATTTATAATTTTTGGAAAGGTCTTTTATATTTTGATGTGATAACATGAACATTTTTATGTGATGTTAAACTTTATTATCATAAGTTATTTTTATATATTGCAAATAAAGATATTTATTTAAATGAACTTTAAATTTTTAGTAAACCATAACATAAATACCTAAGAGTAAACTTTTTTTTGTGTGTATTGCATTATACCAGATTTAGACTTATTCTCTTTTTTAACATCTTTTCCCTGAGTTGTGGGATAACCCAAGCCTTATGAGGAAGTCAAACTCACATCCTTGAAACATTTTTATCTGTGCTAGAAGCAGTAATTGTAATACATATGCAGAAATTCACTTCTATCAGGGTTTATGCAGTCCTTAAAAGTAGTTAAAAGTCTTTAGGTTTTTCGCCCTTAGTTTCATCCAAAATTGGCAAAAGATCCTTAATTTTACTTCTCTGACATTTACGTCTGTTTTTTATTTTTTTATTTTATTTTATTTTTTTACAGCTGCAATTTTGAGTGTGAATTAATATTTTGGAAGAATATTTTTTAGTGATGCATTGACAGATATGTATTTGATGGGTTAAGGTTTGAATTCTTTACTTAATTATAAACAGTCAATATTCGAGCTTTAGGTACAAAGTGCTACCTGGATTGAAAATAAACATTTCAAAATTATTTCTTAAGAATGAAGAATTCAGAGAAATATTACATAAAAGAAATATTCCCTTTTTGAAATATGATTTCTTTTATTATGCGGATCTAAATTTAGCAACTTAGCAATATTTTAGCCATTCCAAGATCAGTTTGCATACAAAATTTGTTATTCAGATATTCGTGAACATTTTGATATTTTTTTTACAAACATAATATTGATAAATATCATAAAAATAATAATAATGTATAAAAGTTATATTTAAGAAGTAATGTTAAAATAAAGAATTTTTATTTTCTCCTGCCCTATTGTAAAGTGACCTCACTTTCCATTTCTGTTTAGGTAGGAATATTTTGATTCTGAAAAATAAACAGAATAATAAATGGTATAAATAAAGAACATAGTTTCTGAAACACTTTTCAGGCGGAGGGGGACTACAGTAATTCTAAATTAATTTCATTTGTCTTCTTTTATATTTTTTCATGATAAGAGTTTTTTCCCTGTGTAATTCTGTCAGAGTATTTACGTGTTTATTAGTTTTCTCCTGAGAATTAACTTTACACTTTTCTTTTTTGAACTTCCCCCCCCCCCAAAAAAAAAAAAGTCTTCTGCCTTTCTGCACTTACAGAGTTGTGAGGGATTTTAGACCTTGCACCTCACAAAGTTTACGAGGATTTAAAGGCAAGACCTACAGTTCCAGAAAAATGTGATGAAATAAAAAAAATGTTTTCATGGTATTAACACACATTTTATAGGAAATTTGTGATGAATTTCATTTCTTTTGGAGAATTTTTGGAAGAACAGTAAAAACAAAATTATTAGAATTTTTTTCTTTTGATCCCAGTAATCTTTCTCTTAAGATGTTTATCTTCCCTTTGTTTTCTTATCTTTCCACTACACACAAGCACTGAAGCAAGCAAAGAAACTGAAAGCCAACAATTTATTAAAATATTCATCTTATATGACTGCCTTAAATTCTAAAAATTTTGCCATCCCTACATTTAGTAGCTTGCTGCTTCACTAAATTTTAAAAATTCTGCCACGCTGACTCTGGCACCGGTACTGACCTTATATCATTTCATATATGTTCTCAATACTCATATTATTAAAGAAATGAAATTAGCAACTTCTTCTATACATTCTAAGTACAAGCAGCTCTTTAGAATATCAGAAATCTTTAATTAAATCTGAAAATTCTAAAATGAAGAGGAAACTCCTTGAAGAAGAAACTGATTTCATAAACGAGAAAAATTCATTCTTCAAGGTATATTGTTGATACTTTGTGGTGCACGAGGATTTCTTTTTCTTTAAATAAAAAAAAAAAAAAAAAAAAAAAAAAAAAAAAAAGGGGTATATTGTTAAAGCAATTACAAATTAGGAGATGAAGCAAAGACTAGTGGAAACATTGATTTGTTTATTGAAACAAATAAACTTGTAAAAGATGCTAAAGAAAAGGAAATTGATATAAATTAGTTAAAATATCTGGAAAGTTTTCAAATTAAGAAAATGCATAAATATTTTAGCTTTTAGTGTATAATTAATTATATCATTTTAAAATCAATATAGTACTCTTCTGTGAGAAGGACTGTTATTTATTATTGAATTAAAAAATGTAAAACGTATGTATATATGCATATATATACATGCATACATGAACACATATATCTGTACATACATACATATATACATTTCTGAATCTGGTCCTGATAACAAAAGACATCAGTATCATTAATTATAACTGCTGTAAAATGTTTAGTGCTTTTTGTAATATATATGTTTTAGAAATAAAAAAATTGTAACTATAACCCTGTAAATCTATTCTGACTAAGGATATCTAACTATGTAATTTAATTATTTGTAACTAACTGCTGATCCTTATAAGTTTTCTCTACATATAAAGTTGAGTCATCTCCTTTCCTTAATCCTTATTGTGAATGTGAGATAGAGCACAAAAATGTAAAAATTAACATAAAATTTTATTCCTTACAACTAATGAGACTTGAAATAACACAAAACAACCCACCACCTCCTGGTGCTTCAGTGACCGTTTAATATAAAGTTTGAAGATGGAACTTTATATTAAATGTTGTATATTAACTGAGTTACAACTACATGAATCTACAACACTAACTGGTACTAATATAAAGTGCAGCTAACTTTCAATACTTAACCAGCTGTATCAATATCAGGTATTCACACGTGTTCTGATCAGTGGCTGTCTGTCTGTAAGCAAGCAACTATGGAAGCAACACCCACACTTGAATCTAGGACCTGGCTTAGCCTAATTGGGGCCCTGTGCAAAAAATTCCTTGGGGGCCCCCCTCTGCTTCACTACTTTATTAATGAAGAACTGAACTTTATGAAGGTATTAAATTTTTCACCTCATTATAGATATATGACAAGAAAATTGACTAGAACCTAAAATAGCTATAAAGTTCCCCCGCGGATAACTAATAATAAAACTACTGTGCGTACAACATGCAATACCACACACAACAGAAATAACAAACGAACAGCAAACAGTTAAGATAACCAGTTATAGTCATCACAATGTGTTATCATTCGATATTTGGGAAGGGATCCAGGCAGATTTTCACAGTCTGTCAAATGAAATTAATTAATCAAAAGAATATTTGACATTTTGTGAGAATTTTGAAAAAATACAACTTATAATTGATTATTGTGATTTCTCAGTGTTGCGAAAATTCAACAGAATCTACTGAGCACAATGCAACTGAATTTTTTGCAGTTGCGAGTTGCGATCAAGATGACCTAGTTAACAATCATATTGCTGCAGTTTGTGAACTTTTCACAAGTTTCTGAAATGCAGTTTTATGATTGTTAACTCTGTCATCTGGCTGCGAAAAATTCATATCCTTGCTGACATTAGGGTGGAATTCAGCTAAATTTACACAATTACGATGGCTCAATTAAGCCAATCAGAAGTGGTATTTTTGTAAACATATCACATTTTGCGATATGTGGAAATACAGGCTTTTTGATTGGTCCATCGTTATAGTGAAAATTTAGCTGAATTCCATCCTAGAAAGCCATGGATTTATGAAATATAGATTTTTTTGTGTTTATACGAGATTAATGAAGAAGCTAACATAAAACTGACGGATTTTACACCGTACTGATATTTTGTTTAAAAAAATTTGATATTTTGTTTAAAGAAAAGAAACATAAAATAAACTTTCTATTGCCCTGCATGCCCCTGCCTTAGTCAGGATCTGCTTAATCATGCTGATTATTATTTTATTTTTCAGTTTAACTATGTCAGACATAAAATCTGCATTAATCGCTGAGTGAGTACATGATGAAATGAGGCATAAAAGAAATAATAGTATACAGTTAACTGTTGTAAAATTAAATAAAAAGCCACTAATCTTTTTAAAATATGTAGAATTGTTATAAGTGTAAAATGTAAATGTTTCAAGAAATTTTATAATTTATTGCCAATTACCTAAAAAAAAACTATGAAGTTGATTTTATTCTTGAGTTGGTTTAATGGTTAAGTTAAATATTAAATTATGTTTAATAATAATGCATCCTATTTGCAGATTTATTTTATTTTTACAGATTATGAAAATGATGTAACAAAAGTGACGTTCAGGTGTAGATAATTACTTTAGTTTATTCAATTCTTATTTTCTGATTGGCCCTTAATTTTTTTCATTCATGGTCCTTAAAGGTACTTAATTTCCACATGCAGAAGTGTGTACAAACCCTGTATTTACAAAAGCTTGCATTATACCATTAATTAGATAGTATATGTTTCAAACGGTATATATAATAATTAAAGGAATTTTAAGATAGCAATTATTTAAATTTCTCCTTTTTCATGTGATATTTATTCCAAGTAAATAAGCTGGCTATATGAATATTTTCATACTTTTAACCCATGACTAAGAATGTGTGCCAAATTCCATAGTCTTCTGTAAACCATCCCTGTTTATGCCCTAGTATGTTTGGGTATAATCAAGTATCTGTTCCAGTTCAGCCATGCCGTATCTTTTGTACAGAGTGATCCAAAAGGAACAGTAAAAGTAAAAATTCACTACAGTCAAAAGTCATTAATTCGGACACCCATAATTCGGAATGATGTATAATCCGGACCTCAAAGCTACAAACTTTCTGCGCATAGGCATTTACGCGTGCGCGTAAGACCTTTACAGCTGTGAATATGCGCGTGCACATAATACGTTTACGCATGCGCGTTTAATGTATAACAGACGGTATAAGCTAAGCTAAAATTATCTAATTCAGTTAATGTTGCAGATTGCGTTGTTTCCTTAATCTTCTAATTGGATCCGGCTTATTATTTTTGCAGACTGTTAGAGCAATTTTATAAAAGTAAGCTTGAACTTTCGATTATGTTAAATAGAATTTCCGATATATATTTACTAATATGTAAAGGATCTACAAAGCGAAAGTATGTTTCAAAGTCCATTAAACCGAAAGTGGAATTGCTTCAAAAAAAGAATAAAGGCATATCCTTTGATTATCTAATCATTCCGAAATATGTTTATCAATTTCACGCTGCTCTGCGCGGGGGGGGGGGAGGGAAACGACGTGGCGCGCAATGAATTGGAAGTTGATCTGTCAGCACTAGCCTTATCTTCAGGGCAGATGTTTTTATTTTATTTGGCTTATAATTCCTTACTAAATGTAGTATTTCATCTCGATGTACTTCCGTCTTTGATATAATTTAAATCAAGTTCCTCGTCATTATAATTCGCTTCCGATAGTGAAGAAAGTGACACAGAGGTTATTGGAAATGAAAAAATTTCCATTGTCAAATTAGTCGGTATTCTCAACACAGCAATTATAGGACTTGAACAGTGGAACTTTGTAACTAAACAAGAAATTATGTCTGTTTAATAGAATTAAAGAGAAAGTATTATCACATGAAACAAAGCAACTTAAACAACTTACATTGAAAGAAATGTTTAATAAAGTAAACAAATAAATATTAAGCTGTTTCTTTTTGTAAATTTTGATACCCTTTAGATCATAATTGTTCTTTATTTCATAAATTACAGTTTCATATTTTTAATTTTATAATTTCTGCATGCCATCTTACCAGATTTAAACTGATGATCTATAATCCGGAATCGCCAAAGTCCCGACGATTCCGGATTAACTACTTTTGACTGTATTTCAAAATGTAAGGCAGCATGGTGCAGTTTTCACAGAAATACATCTTCCATAAAGGCATCCCTGTTTAGACAAATAGTTCTAGTATGTTTTGGTATAATCAAGTTATCTGTTCCAGTTCAGTCATGCAGTATCTCTTATACAGAGTGATCCAGAAGGAACAGTAAAAGTAAAAATTCAGTATTTCAAAAAGTAAACCAGCACGGTGTTATTTCCTCAGAAATACATAAAATGGTCATGACATTCCTTTTTATTTAGTAATAATAATAATAGAAAAAAAGATTGTCAAAATAGTTACATTTAACTGAAGTCGCAGATGTACAGAAGTTGGTCTGTGGTACTTTCCGTACTGTAAGAAGTTATTCACCATCATGTGACAGGAATTAAAGCTGAACCACTGAGGTGTTGTGTAGAGTATAATGCCACCACTATATTATTTTTATGAATGATGGCTATCATATTATACATTTGTAATTCTGGCTGCATTATGAACTGCACAGTGTCACTGTAAAAACATCTGACAAATAAAGCAAAATCTTGTATTGAAAAATAAATATAGTACTACTGTCAATAGAATCTTTTATTATTAAAAGAAGCCCCCATGGCTTTCTGTGTAATTCTGTAATACTGTCTGTTCTTTTCAAATTATTTTTTTCTTTTTCTGTTACATTTGAATCACTTTGTATATAAAATAATGAGAGGTTAGTCTTCCTCCCCCCACTCAGAAAGTGGGACTTAACACTAATACAGTGTAACTTAACACAAGTCAAATTTAGTTTTAGCTTTCTAACCATTGAGAACAGTATTATTGGTACTGCTTATTACTGTTATTTAATTATAATTTACTCACAGCAACCACCTCCCTAAGATGACCACCTTAAAAACTTAGAATTGCTCCTCAGTTTTTAAGGTGGTTGCTGTGAGAGAATTCGATATTTTATTTTATATTACGTTCAGAATTAAAAAATGTTACATTATGCGAAAAATACTAGGTCTATATTTTATTGTTTATTGTTAGCTTGTATGTAAAGTACTTTAAATAACTGTAATAAAAAATTAGAAAAAAATATTTTCTTTCAGATGTTAAATAATTTTAATGAAATTTTACTTTATTGAATCTACTAATTTTACCTTTTATTTTTTTAGCATATGTAAAGCCTTTTCTTGAAGAATTAGATCTTGTTTCTTCTGTAACTATAAAAAGTCAGGTATGTAAGATGTTATAACCATTAGTGTAGGATGATAAGTACATTTAAATTATATGCATATATTTTATGAAATTTCAGATTCATTTGACAGTTTAAGAAAAATGTAGTGGCTTTATCTTTTGCATTAGAGCTGTTATAAATATATATATTTCATAGTAGATAAAATGTAAAAAAAAAACAGAAAAGCAGAACTGATAACTGCAATACCTTATTTATGTATAACCTACACAGGCTATAGTTCAGGACCTCGTTTCTTGGAGTCCCCAAAAAATTGTCTCATATCCCTTATACAGGGTTCGAACGGTCCTTAAGAGTCCTTAAAAGTCCTTAAGTATTTTCGATTGATTTTTGGTCGATCGATTTGGTCGATCGAATCGATTTTTGGTTCCTAAAAGTCCTTAATTTCGGCCAAAATGAGTAGAAGATCCTTAATTTTAATCATCAGAAATTTGTCTGTTTTTACGACTGCCATTTTCCGTATGTATTAGTATTTTGGTGGAATATTTTTGGCGATTCACTGACAAATATGGTAATCTTTTGAATGGGTTCATGGGTTATAATTTGTTCCTATTTCTAATATAAATTATTTTATTCGAAATTATTTTATTTTTTCTAATGAAGAGCTCTTAAACAACTTTTCGCTTTTGGGATTATTAAATGGTTCTAAATTTGGCGACTTATCAACATTTTGGCGATTTTGAGATCAGTTTCTTTTGAAAATTTTTCATTTCAAAATCTGGGAATTCTTCGACGATTTTTTTTTAAAACCATTGTAACATTGCTAAATTTCATTAAAATAATGGTAATATATTGAAATTATATTAAAACATAACATTAAAATAAAATTTTTTTATTTTTTGCTGTCATATTATATAGTTCCATTTTGGCGATTTATTATACAATATTTTGAATCTGAAAAATAAACAAGGTATAATGCTATAAAGCACAATTTACAAAACAGTTCTTAGCAGAAGGAAAATATTTTTTTAGTTGCTATGTAATTAATCAGAAATATATTCTTTTTAATTTTTTGTATGGTGAGAGTTTTTCATGTAATTGTGTCGGAATATTCAGAATTCTTGGAATACGCATCAGTTTTCTCTATAAAATTAATTTTACACTTTTCCCTTCTTATTTTTTTCCCCAAAATATTTCTGGCCTTCTGCTGTTATAGAATTCGTTGGAGTAACTTTTCTTTCCAGAAAGATTCCAGAAAAATGTGACAAAATGAATAATGTCTCCATGCTATTAACATGTAATGGATGTATTTTACAGAAGTTTGCGATGAATTTCTTACTTTTTGGAGAATATTATGTTTTACTTCTGATACTAACATCTTTTTCTTAACATGTTTATCTCTCCCTTATTTTCTGTACTTTTTACTAGACACAAGCATGGAAAATATCAAAAATGCTTCTAATCTTATGACATAGACAGGCATTATAGAAAGGAATTTTTTCATTAATAAAGAAATTGAAAACTGACAATTTAAAAGATTCATCTAATACAGTCAAAAGTCTTTAATGCGGACTCGTCGGGACTTCAGCAATTCCGGATTATCGATTTTCCTGGATTATAGATCGTCAGTTTATATCTGGTAAGATGGCATGCAGAAATTATAAAATTAAAAATATGAAACAATAATTTATGAAATAAAGAACAATTATGATCTAAAGGGTATCAAAATTTACAAAAATAAAGCTTAATATTTATTTGTATACTTTATTAAACATTTCTTTCAACGCGCGCATGCGTAAAGCATGCATTACGCATAGTCGAAATTAGAAAATTGTAGCCAGAAAACTATTTGATGTGTATTCGTAATATTTAAAATGAATTTGATTTAAATCATATCAGAGTAGAGATGAAATACTACATTTAGTAATGAACTATAAGCCAAATAAAATAAAAACATCTGACCTGAAGATAAGGATAGTGCTGACAGATCAACTTCCAGTTCATTGTGCGCTGCAACGTTCCCCTTCCCCCGCAGAGCAGCGTGAAATTGATAAACAGATTTCGGAATGGTTAGGGAAACAAAGGATATGCCTTTATCCATTTTTTGCAGCAATTCCACTTTTTTGTTTGATGGACATCTAAACATGCTTTCGCTTTGTAAATCCTTTGGCAGTATCCAGCATCGGAAATTCTATTTCACATAATCAAAAGTTCAAGCTTACTTTTATGAAATTGCTCTAACAGTCTGCAAAAAATAATAAGCCAGATCCAAGTAGAAGATTAAGGAACAACGTAATCTGCAACATTAACTGAATTAGATAATTTTAGCTTAGCTTATACCATCTGTTATACATTAAACGCACATGTGTAAACTTATTATGCTCATGCGTATACGCATATGCGCATGTGTAAAGGTATTACATGCATGTAACGCATGCGCAGAAAGTTTGTAGCTTTGAGGTCCGGATTGTAGATCATTCCGGATTAATGACTTTTGACTGCATGTCTTAATGCATTATACACATAGCTGGAAGTAGGCATTTTCCCACCTGGTACAATCTCTGGGGGGATCTTAAATTCTTCTGCCTAATGCCTTTCTAAATTCTAAAAGTTTTGTCAGTTCTAGTTTGTCAGTTTTGTCAGTTCTGTTGCTTGGTGTGTCACTAAATTCTAAAACTTCTGCCACACCAGCTCTGTAACTGGCCCTTACCATATATATTTCATATTTCTTCTGAATGTCATCTGAATAATGAAATAAAATTAGCAGCTTTTTCTATACATTCTAAATGCATTTAGTGTTTTTAGAGTAACTGAAATCTTTAAACCAAAAAATTCTAAAATGAAAAGGAAATGTGTTGAAGAAAGAAACTGAATACATAATGAGAAAGAAAATTATTCTTCAAAGATATGTACAGTTAATATTATGTAAGTTACCCAATTGTTTATAATTTCAGCCTTTACTATAATTTCTCATTTTGATTTCGTGACCAGATTACAATCACTGAGACAGTTTTTAAACTGTGGTTTTTTGGAGTGCAAGACAGAGTGTGTTTCTGACTTCTATTTGTTCACTGCATTAGTTTCTTCTAGCTCTGATCATTTGTAATTATTCATCTTTGGATTATCACTGCTGACATTTGAATTTGTTATGAGAGTTCCTGAGCCAGTATAAATTAAAATTATATTTTATGGGCTTTGACCAGGAGTCCACAGAGTATAGTTTGAATTTGACTCTTCTTGTTGAATTACATCACATGTAATTGATTTTGTTAGCATAAGAACATGCATTTATGGTCTGAGTTCTTTTTAAGAGGCTTATTTAAACCTTTGTCTGACTTTGTAGTTACTTTCAGACATAGCAATAATTTGCTTTACGTCTGTATGGGAATTTTGGACTATTTAATTTTTACCAGATCAAATAAATTCCTCATAGGTGCATTATGAAGAGGTTGGCAAGATAAAGCACGGAGAGACTAGTGAGAACATTGGATTGCGTATTGAGACAAATTTCTAATTGTTATAAAAGATGCTTAAAGAGAAGGAAATTGATATAAATTAGCCAAAATGTCTGGGAAGGCTTCAAATTAAGAGGACGCATAAATATTTTGTTGAGTGTAGTGGTAGATTTTAATGTGTAATATTCTAATATCGTTTAAGAATCAATATCATAAATTATGTGTATTTTAAACTGTGAAATTTTATTAGATTGAGATTTTAATAGAGCTTTTTAATAAATATTGTTAAAAATTAAATAAAATCTAATAGTGGCCATGTTAATCCATGAGGACTAAGATTATCTAACTAGCTAATTTAATTAAATTATTTATAACTAACTGCTCACCCTTAAAATTTATATTTGCGTATTGAAGGAAGTTATTATGTTTCATTTATCCTTACCGTGGTCACAAGATAAAACTCAAAAATGTAAAATTCATGTAAAACTTATTCTTTGCATTTAGTGAGACTTGAAATAATACAAAACAACTTAATCATGCTTTGGCTTATTGGAACCTTAAAGTATATTACTGGGTTACAAACCCTGGAACTCTACACGAAGTAACAACACTAACTGCGTCAGACAGAGCCTCAGCTAACTTTCAAAACTTGCCAACCACACCTAGATTAGGCCTTTCAGGTTTGTTCTGATCAGGTCTCTCGCCAGACAAACAGCAGAGGTGACAGCAGCCAGTCTTTTGTTATGAAAGATGCTGATTATGATTTTTACTTCTCATTTTAATCTATGCCACTTGACATAAGCTATGTGTATAATGCATTATTCTTGCTATTCAAACCTCTAGACTGAGCAAGAATGAGACAAAATGACACCACACACACATATAAAAAAAAAAAAAAAAAAAAAAAAAAAAAAACATAAAGCCAACTGTTAGTAAAATGTAAAATGTTAATAAAATGTCACTTATTTTCTTTCAAATATGTCCAACTATATATTTAACGCTACTTGATAACTTTCATAAAGTTTATTTTATTCTCAAACTTATTAATAATTATGTTAATTATGTTTAATATTAATGCATCCTACTTATGAATCTATTTTATTTTATGATATTACAAAAGTTTAGGCATAGGTAATATTTTTAATTAAATTTATTCAGATCCCATTTGCTGACAGGTCCTTAATTTTTTTCATTAATGGTTCTTAAAAGTACTTAATTTCCGTGTGCAGAAATGTGTACAAACCCTGCTTATAAAGAACTTATATCTCAAATAGCTTAGGGTCTCATCAAGTCTAAATCTGGTCCTAGATCACTGTATTATTAGCATTAGCCTTTTATGTATTTGTGATTTAATATAATATTTAAATTTTGTTTCTGTCTGTAGGAGGATATTTTTTTTAAAACTTGAAAGGGCTATTAGTCTTGAAATGTGATTTTGCATTGTTTTACTTTTCATTCGAATCTGTTGCCATTTGGCAAAATGTAAGATATTTAACGTGTCTGCTATTGGCAAATAAATTAAACTATTTAAGTGCAATAATAGTAGTTTTAAAAAATATTTTTTTTACTTATAATATGATTCAGTTA